CCTTTGCTTTTTCAGCCTGGAGCTTTCCCTGGAGTGGAGAAAGTCCAAGTTCACATTGTCACAAGATTTTTGTACTGCTGCCTCTTGCTTAGAGAGACAGTAAAAGCTCTTTGTCTTTATTGTTTCTTAAGGAAATGGTCTAATTCTCATAGAAATCTCACTGATTTTATTAGGATTTGTCTTTGGCTGGGCAAAGTAAACCACTGAAATAAAAATATAGGAACAAGAAATCAAAATTTTTCAAAGTGAAACTGAAAGTATCATGTAGCACACCCTACCTTTAATAGCTAAGAATAAAGTTAATAATAATGCTCATGTAATCCCTCCCTCCAAACAGGATTAGAAAATTCTCTACACATGAAATTTGAATGTCATTGTAGTCTGTTAGGAGCCAACTGATTTATTTCTTGACTTCTCTTTTATTCTTAACTATTGTCTTAATGTTCATGCCTTCAATTTTCCTGTCATTTTAATGAGAAGTAAAAAAGTAACAGAAGAAAATCCATTATGCATGCAAGTGTTTGAGACAATGATTCTCACTAGAATCATGGACAATGAGTTAAGATGCACTGAAGTGTCTGACTAAATTGTTGAGAAAAGATGGGTGTAAATCTCTGTCATGAGTAGACTAGAATTAATTTTGCCAGCAGAAGCCTGTTTGCCCTTTGAACCACCATACTCCTTTGTTGCCTGCAAGCCTGGGGTGGCCCCTGATTGCACAAAGGTCTGTCTGGCAGCTGCAGTGATGGCAGTATTGGTCACTGCTTGTCCAGTAATCTCCACAATATCCAGATGTCCCCAATGCATGTAACTCCTGCGGCCCTGTGTCAATCACAGCTTGTGAATGGGACCTTGGGAAGCAAGTTATGGCTTTCACCTGCAGTGCAGTTTGTACAGTTTTCCCTACTATTTTAAATAAAGACATCACAATTCCTGATGCTTTTCCATTATAGTACCCGTGTGAAACAGGGAAATATTATTTCCACACTGCAGGTGGGAAAGGAAGCAGGGAATGCTAAAATAATTTAACTGACTTTACTTAGGCAAATCAAGGTCTCAAATCCACATTTATGAAATCCAGGTTTAGATTTATTGGACACCATAACTCCAAAAGATTTTGCCTTAGAAACTCTCTCCTGACCCATTTACAAGGGGGCTAAGAGGGAATCTGGGCCTTTGCACCTGGTGTATGGAGAACTTGTCCATGGATTTAAATGTTGATAGTTGTGAAAAATCTGAAAAGTGAATTTTCCACATTAGGTTATTTACCTTCCTTAATAAAGAAATAAAAGAAAAAATGTGAATGGGGGGGGAGGGGATCGGGAGTGAAAAGGGAGTTAATGTGTAATGTTTCTAGTTCTTGCAGATTGAGTTATGCAAGCATAGATGTTTCAATTGAAACGTCTCAGGATTATGAAGATACTTTCCCGATATATAACATCTCTTACAATCAAGAATTTATTTATATGTCTCAGAAAAAATCATCTCCTTTGGCTGGTAGGCAAGGATGAAAAATTTCAGACTAGAGTTATTAAAAATTAAGAACAGATGAAAAAAAAGATGTTAGAAACTAATCTAGAAATTAATCTTAATTACAGAACACTTACTTGATTTACAAATAGTGAATTTTTCAGCATATACTATAAATTCCTGGTAAAATAAACTGTAAATTTTTTTACAGCAGTGAAAATTGGTAGATGTTTATTTCAAGAAAAGGACATCAAATGCTGCCCACACCCTAATTAAACAAATCTTGTAATTATGTGTTGCTTATCACAGCTCACTTATTATCCAGGATCTTCCATAACTACATTGCTATATACAAATGATAAACTCAAGACTTGACATCTCATACCTGATTTGCAGGTGAAGATTTCTCATTTACGTAGGAATCTGACACAGCCAGAACAAGCTTTTGAATTTGTATATATGATAGAGAGTACTGATTTTGTGATGAAAGATTCCAGTCCTGATTTTAGAAAACAGTTCCTAGAGCTCATGAGTTGATAGCAAAAGTCTGAGTTTGATCTGGAATGAATTTCTAATCACATTAGCTATAAAGAAGGCCTTTTAATTTCATGGTCCCTTGGAAAGTGAAACTTGAGTAAGCTGAAAGCATTGTGAAGCAATCTCTGCATAAACATCTGATACTGTAAGTCTTAGACTATCTACACTAGCTGAGCTGTAATTACATTTCTTTCTCAAGATGTGCTTCCAAATTATGGATGCTTATAACTGACTTATAGTTTATATGTTAGTTTTGCTGAATACAGTTATAACTACCAATCTTATTTGCACCGCTGATTAAAATTTTAACTAAAGGTAGCAAAACAGCATTTGGAAAGCACTTAAATTCCATTATTCTGAAATAACTGTGGTATGAGGTTGATATCTCTGCTCTCTTAAAGAGTGCTCCTGAATGTACTGTGATGTTTTATATAGTGTTCTTTCTGGCATAAATTTTAACAATGAGTGAATGAACCCATGACTGTGGTCAGTGGGATGTTTGAGACTTCTCTGATGGGAAGTATCCAGAAAGTGCTGTTGTACTTCTGTTCTTGAGAACGAACTCATTCAGTGTTTTGGGTGACCCCAGGTTTTCAGGGTAAGAGTATATCAACCAAGTCTGCTGTGTGGAGTAAAAAATACAATGGTGCTTCTGCAGGAGGAAGGGCTTCAAGCAAAGCTCAGGATTTCAATGTGATGTCAGGACTGTTGAAAACATAAACTGATGAGAGCAGTTTGTTGCACAGCCCTGGCAGCCAGCTCCAGAGAGCATTGGACTAGTGCCTCAGTACTCTGCTGTCCTGTATTTAAAAGTAGCACTTCCCTTCTGTTATTGTTTTAGGAAGTGGGGAAGGAATCTTTCATTATTGCATTTCACGGATACACTATTAGAGATTGCACCTTAATAATTTCACTACTATATTCAATAGCTGTTCAGAAGCAATCTAGGTAGACCTGTGACTTTAAGTGTTGATGTGAACTAGTTTACATCAGGCTGTCATTAGGCTGTCAGAGCCAATGCTAACTGAATTAATAGATTGTAAGAGCCTTAATGAAAACTGTAGTGCAAAAAAAAAATATTTTAGAGAATCAAAACAGAATTACTATGATAAACTGTTGCCAGATAAAACATTTTATCTTTTTTGCCCCTGTTATCTTTTCCTTCCTTAGAGAGCAGGTATAGTACTGACTAGAGGGAAAAAGTCTTCCATTGAGTTAGTGAAGGTATTTGGTAGAGAAGTCAGGGAAGTATACCCATGCACAGCTGCAGATTGCTCCTGGTACATCTGTGATGAGATTTCCTAGCAGAATGTAAAATAACTGTGTGAGAGCATTTATAGCCTTCTAGATGCAAAATCTTTCTTATGGAAAAGAAGAACACCAAGTGTTGCACTCGTGAGAATTAGAATGGGAAAGGCAAAGAGCTTTTGATGGTGGCACATCAGGGGACCAAGCTTCTGTCTAATGAAGCCCCATGAAGAAACTTTCATAATGGGCAGAGACCTGAAGTACTGGCCACTTCCAGGAGAAACACAGGATTTTGGTCTCATCTTGTCTGACAACTACTATTTTTCTGTTTATCTATCCTTAGTGTTTTGGCCCATTGGGGATTACCTGCTGTATGGACAGGCTTGAACAGGCCTGTTCATCTGGCTTAGGTGAACCAATGTAGACCTGTCCCAGTTAAAACATGCAAACAGTTCAAGTGCTAGAAACTCAGGAAATTTTTGCAATAGCAAGTAGTAAGATTAAGCGCAACAGATTTTAGAATGAAAGTTGGTGCTAGGGAGGTGACATCCACACTGTGCATTTCAGGAGTTTTATTACTTTGGGCTTGATCTACTCTGGTCTTTTATTTTATACTTGACAACAGAATACATATTAGAAAGAACATTTGTTATTCCAATATAGAACTGAGATTCCAAAGCTTGAATGCTCACATCAGTAGAAGTGCAACACTTGGTCTCAGTTCTGTAGATTCCTATTTGCCCCAGTACTGTAGTAGATCAGATTTGTATATATATCACAGAAACAGAGGTTACAGCGTTGGTTAACTTTATATTTGTGTTCTTTACATTTTCTTTCAAAATGATGCCCTGTTAGACTTAATTACTTTTCAGGAAAGTCCTTTGATATTTTCCTTACTCATCTAGTTAATTATTAAAACAAACCCAGAAAAATATTAAGTTAGTAAGCTCTCATCAAATTCTTGTCAATAGGAGTAGGATTTCAGTGGGGGAAAATGCCTCCAAGTTCCCCCAGTTTCTTACCAACAGAGTGGGATTCAAAAAACAATTTTTGTTTCATAAATAGATCTAATATTTTCCTATCCAAGGGAAAAAAAAAATGCTACATGGAATAGTAACAACCATTAGGTGAAACAGAGCAACTCCATATTTAACCGAGCACTTCATTGGCTCATAGAGAAAACTCCATAATATTATTTCTGTGTAGCAATACATGAGAAATAATATATTTGAACATTAAGAATATCCTTTTAAATGAACTTGATTTGTCACAAATTATGCGATGGCATTTCTTAACTGTTATATTTGCTTATTCGGTATTCTATTTAAATTGCTTTCAACATAGCACTTTGTTAATCTGATCACTTAAATTGATCCCTAAGCATCAGATGAATGAATTCTAAAAATTTGGCCTCATACACTATATAAGTAAAGATATTTTGTATTCTGGAATAATTTGAATTTGTAGTTTTCCTAATCTTAAAATTGCCCCTGTCTGTTCTGAGCAAGAATATCACCCAGCAGATGGTACAGAAGAGACTTTCTTGTCAGCTGGTCCGAACCACAGTTCTTGGAAACCTTCCAGGGTCCTAATACTGAGGAAGTTCCACCCCCATCAATTAAAGCCCTTCACATGAGCAGGAGGTTTCAATCCTCATTCTTCCGTACTTATTATCAGAGAAACTGTTAGAGCACAACAGAGTATTAGTCATTTAATGGAGAAGCAGAAAATAATGAGAAACTTACGGCTGGTGCATTATTTTGAATCGGCTCAGCTCATAATCTGACACATTCTGAAAAGAGAAAAAACAGGTTTTGTATTTTAAATAAAGGTCAATTTAATCAAGACAAATCCACTAAGTGAACTAAGCAAAGACCTAAAAAAGAGGCTTTAGTTTTGTAGCTACTTGGTAGTCTCATCGTGGTTAATGCTTAACTTTTTATTACTGGCCTGTTGTAACATTTCTGGAAAGCTGGTAGCACACATTGTTAAACTGGAATTTAACTGGACATGTGGCAGATTAAATTATGCTGATTAATGAATCATTCAAAAAGTGATAAGCAAGCCATTTTATATGCTCTCTTTCCAGCTCCACCACAGAATTTCTTTGGGGTTTTTTACTGAAATCAGCAAATTAATATAACAGTGTCTGAGTGGAAGATTTTCTTAAACAGTGGCTGGAAGACAATAAGTTCCAGTTTGGTCTGTTCTTGTGCTAGACTTCTGCACGACTCCTCAACCCATGAAAAACTGGGGTTGAAAAAGAAATAGAATTTTTAATGTGCTACCTTGGCACATACAGTGCCCATTCTAGTGCTCCACAAGCTTATTTAAATACAGAAAACAGTTTGACCAAATCATTTCAATAGTTTATGTAGCTTCATGTGCCTTTCAATGTGCCAGAGAGTCTGTGCACCACACTAAAGCAGCAGAAGTACTTCTGCTGTTCAAGCTAGTGCACAGCTTGCAGCTGAACTTAAGTCAGAGTTTTAAACTAGTTTAAATTAAACCTTTTTTTAATCTGTGAATTTTCCTTTAGTTCATAATTTCCAGTAAAATCTCTGGATTTTACCCAGACCAACTGTGTGATCACATGGTTTTGGTCCAGAAACTTTGTAATGCTAAAATGCTCTCTTTCTCAGCATAGATTTCAACAGAGAATAGGTCAGGCTGAAAACACGTCCATTTAATAGATGCAGTTTGAACCCTCCTCCTATTTTTGTGTTAGAAAGAGGAAACTAACTAATTTGCTTGTTTCCTGAGACTTGCTAGGCACGCCTATAATGGATGTGAAATCTCCAAAATTGATACTTTCCAGTGAGCTTAGTGGTACTGAGTTCATTGTAATATGATTGATGTTTGCCCAGCTCTATCTGTTTTTCTGAATAACCCTCCATCTATCAGTCCCATTCGAAATAGTTTTGCCTTTTCTCTCACTGTCTCATCAGTGTGATAGATGAGTTTGTATCAGGCATACAAAATGAGACAGTAATAACAAGTATATGAGACAAGGAGATCAAGTGGAGAATGTGTAAAATCTCAGAGAAAACCTGTTTCATCAGTTTGTATTTAAATTCAAGTGAATCTCTGCATTTCTTTAAGTTCTTTGATATATTTGTTGGGAAAATATGCCATTTTAGATACTAGAGAACTCCCTACATTTACTACTTACCCTGTAATTATACTGTAACAAAAACCAGCTGCATATCTACATGTAGTGTGTATGGTAATTAGCAGATGATCTAGAAGATCTAGAAAACACCAAATTCCTGAGGAAATTTAAAACTATATTGAGCTGTCTGATTGACAGACAGGCCCATCTGGGCTCCTTCAGACTTTGTCAGCTGTAATGATGACTCACCAAATTACTTCTGCAGATCAATGACCAGCAATATTAGGGCCATTTCCTCCCCTGTTATTGCACCTTCTAAATGAGAGGAGGAAGCAGCTCTGCTTTTTGTTGTAAGGATTTGGGTTTGTGTTTGCTCCCTTTTCTTTACAAAGTAGTCTATTTAAACTTTTCCTTGAGTGTATTAAGATTGCTGAGGTCTAATTGCTTGATGATTACAGCTAAACAGCTTGTGTAATTGTTACTGTCCTTCCAAGCTGGTATTTGCTGGAATATGTTGCTTAAGCAGCACTTTACCCTAAGCAGCTCTTTCCACACAAGCAAGTGTTGTGTGTATGGTCAGATCAAGCACTTCTTTAACTAGCAATTGAGTTTGGTAGAGGAGGAAGCTATGGATCCAAGCACTTCCTATACTGGTGAATGTTGTGTATAGAGGGTTTTAACTTGGTTCCTTTTTTTTTTCTGAGGCAGCCTTGAATAAAGGGATTAAGCTGTGGGCATCTCTGAAGTTTGAGGAGATTGACATCTGTGGGTCCAGCTGAAAGCTATTTTATCTTATTTTGTGTTTTTTTTTTTTTTTTTTTTTTTTTTTGTTTTTTTTTTTTTTGTTTGTTTGTTTGTTTGTTTTAAGGAAGTTGCATTGTTGATTGCAACTAATAGCTGCTGCATTTTAGTAACAAAATTATGGTTTTAGGAAGGAGCACAAAATTATCTTGCAAAGTCAACATTTTTGAAATTACATGGTAGCTTCTGTAAGAAGATGACTAATTCTTCCAGGTTTTAATCATTCATTGCTCCTGTTGTTGCTTATGATATATATTGTTAGTGATTCATATTGGCATGAATGGAATATATTGTAAATGAATATGTGTCATAAAGAAGAAGTTAAAGTAGTTTCTTTCCTGGAGGAGTGTGAGTTGCCAAGTATACAGTGAGGAACTAAAGGGACAGATTGGTGTGTTTGGGTTTTTTGTATTTACTGTTTCATGTTAGAGCGCAATTTAGAAAGCATATAAAAATTATGTTCGCTTCAAACCTGCTATTAATTTCCTCTTTTCTACTGGCTGATTCATGCACCCGACATCAACTTTCTCAGTAGCTCACTTACTTAGCTCAGTAGCTAAGAGTAACCAAAATTCAGCTTGCAGATCAAGCAAACCGGCTTTGTTCTGCAGATAGCATCATGGAAGGGGAGAAATGCTGCAATGGTACAAATATTTGAGGTGTGTGTCTCATTCCTTTACCTGCAGAAGCATGTCTTGGATCTGAGCCGATCTTGCTGCAGCTGCTTACTAGCATGGGTGCTGACAAAGGGGAAGCCTTACATCAGAAGCAAAGAGAAGCAAAATTTCTGTACACTCTGCAGCTGCAGACCTGTAAGTAGGTTTTATGTGTTTTTTTGTCTGGAAAAGTTTACACTAACTCATGCGTGTGGACTATGAGGTACACGCACACTGAACTGGCATGTCTGAGGTGCTGTGGTTCTGTGCATGTGCTCTGCAAGTGGCCAGCATATGTGCCATGTGTCTTACATGCCTTAGCTGGGTGGGACTCGGGCGTGTTGCAGATTTGGGGACATGTATAGTATGACTGGTTGATGGATAATAGGTAGTTAGCATGCAAATGGAGTCCTGGTTTGAGGAAACTTAAGTGTGGTAGGAAGCTAAGAGAATGGGGCTCTTATATGGGATAAAATGTAACACAGTGTGGAGCATATATGGCACCTTTACCTGTCCCGAGTTTAGCACTCCTATAAGGAAGGCTTCTAAGTCATAAACGTGGGTGTCAGAAGACATGGGACCCAGTGTGTTTTGGCCTCCAAATTTGCTTTGGAGTTTTTTTGCCATTCTTTCACAGTTCCTAGTTGAAGTTGTGCTAAGTGGTATTTTTAATAGAGTTATTGCCACAAAACGTTTTCAGATGTCTTTGAAGAAGGTTGGTGATACAGTTGATTGTATGATATAGTCTTTTCAACTACATTTTGAAGTTCACGGAAGCACATCTCTTTCCCTTTCCTTACTTTTCAGCCCCTTCTTACAGGTAAGCACCTGTATAGGTTGGTTATGGATGCAGGTGCAAATAATACCTTAAACAATCCAGGACAGCTGTGAAAGATCAGTAGGAGTTTGAAAAGGTTAAACTTTGTGTGAGTGAGGATGGGGGGGATTCCTTTGACTTTATGATAAACGTACTGTATTGCTAGATAAGCTGTCAGTATCTGGGCAGTAAAGCTGCATGTAAGATGAGAGTCTTGTCATTACCTTACACTGAGTTATGTTCTGTATCATTGCTAGTTCTGGGCATGGACCCGTTTGGAGAGGTTTGCTGTGAAATGGGTTTGTTGCTTTTTGTGTGTGTATATTTGACAAGAATATTGTGTAATAAATTTGACTTCCTCCGAATTTTCTTCAGTTGTTTGGAGGTAAAGACCCAGATTTACTTGATGTAAAGCAATTTCATGTTATGGTAATGTAAATGCATAATATTCTAGAAGCTCTGTATTCAGTATGATCTAATTTATGTTAATGCCTGTTTATGTTTATGGAATCTGTTTGATATTGACAAAAAGACCTGCAAGAAGCCAGGATTAGAAGGAATCTACAGCTACTTTTTTCACTTTTGAAAGACAAAAATTTGGAGTGTGAATAAAAATTATCTGTATTTAGTCAGTCAATACAAGTAAAACTGAAAAATCATAGAATTGTAATAAGCCACATTAATGATATCCCCTATTAACTGGCATAGTAGACTGTCTGTAATTAGTTAGAGAAGATATGGCACTTATTAGTAAAAATGTCCTTATGGAATATAAATATATCTTTATGGAATGAGAATAAGATCTCAGTGCTGGCCTCTAAAAATACAGCCTGATCTATAGACTTTTGACAGTGATATGTGGCAAAAACTGTCAGAGTGTCTCTGAGTATATCACGGATTAAATATATAGTGGAAAATTCGTAGGTCTTTTTTTCTTAGTGCCACATGGTGAGGGAAAAAAGCAGAAGAGAAGGTAAATAAAATGTGGAATCCATAAAATTAAAGGTCAGTCCAGGAAGAATGGCATAATAAAGAAATATGTTTCTGTTGTGAATGGAGAATTACTATTTTTAAGGTATTTATCAATTTTTAAGTGTCTAAAACTGACATCTAGTGGTAGCAAGAGCACTTTGTATGTGGGCTTTATAGTGAGAACAGATTGTAATAGCAGATAAGAGGTTGTAACTATATTACATACTGAAATTTCAATTCCTTGTACTTTAGTCTATCTAAAATCCTGTTTCTTTCTGTTACAGAGCCTTTCAAATTAAATCTTGCTCCTTTTAGTAATATCTCACTTATATAATGAAAGGTAGTAATGTCTGTTCATCTTTATGAATGCATGGACTCCTGCTAGAGAAGTGTCATCCTGATGAACAGTTTCATTAGAGAGGAAAAGGTTGGAA